TGCCCCACTTCCCTACCCCTGCTGAGGTGCCCGAACTGGTGCTGTGCTCAGACTGGGTGTCCTTTCAACACCAGGAAAGCATTGCTATAGAGCAGTGGAGTGCAGAGAATTTGGATGGTGTTCATGTCCTCTGTAGGATGGTGTTCAGACTAATGACTTGTGACTGGGAAGAAAAGGAAGAGCAAGATGTGCTGAGAACACAAAAAAACAGAGTGAGAAAAACGTTACAGGAGAAGCTTTGTATGGGACAAGACAGTGCTTGAGCTTACCTGGAGATGAATAGAGGAATCAGGACACAAGCAAGATGTTGTGTCTCAGAAAGCAGATAAGACAAGCCAACTGGAACCAGTATGAACCAGATAATTCAAGGGAAATTCAAGCTCTTTTGGGGAATTGAGCCTTGCAAGGGCAGGTGTACCTAGGAAACCATATCATTAATGACATTTAATGCTGAGATGGCGTATGTACTGCTGTCAGGCATTTGGAAATGGATGTAGTAAAACTGGGATTACAAGGTGGTTTGTTTGGGAGGAGACCGAGTGGAGAAAGGGAGGTAAAGATGGTAAAAATGAGAGCAGAAATGGGGGAAAAATAAAATAAGAAGGCTGCATTAAACCTTTCAGTGAACAGCAGGATGTGGGATGTTCACTGGCAGGAGCATGGACACCTATAGGCAGTTCTGAAGCTGATGGGCACATCCGAAGCCCACCAGTATGCTGAAGGGAACACCTTGGATAACCCACCAGACACTCCATCAGTCCAAAAGTCTTCTTTGGGGCAGTAGCCAAAGAAGGAAGGAACTGCACTACAGTGACATATAGTGTGGGAGGGCACACGAAGAGGTGGCAGAACTGGAACCCTTTGGAAACGACCAAGGTGTTATCTGTCAAGCTGTTGGAGTTTCCCATTACATTTTTCAACCTCATAATTAGATAGATAAACTACAGTCAGTCACTAGAAAAAATCATAGTGTTATCACCCATGCTAAAATCTAAATAAAATAAAATTCACATAGTCTATTCTAAAAATAAGGAAAACGTATTCCATGAGGCTTTGAACATCCTTTTCTTTGTGAAAAAACATCTTTGTGTTCAACAGGCATTTCTTAATATGGGGCAGGTAAGGTGAAACATTTGTCAACAGATACATAGTTGTAACTTAGCTTTTCCTCTTTACAATAAACGACGATGAAACACTATGGATTTAGGAAGTGACAGAGTAGTGTTCATAATTTATAATCTGGATGATAAGCCAATAATGCTGGACTGTTCCTTATTAACCCTCTGTTCTGGCAGATAATGGTTCAGCACTGAGCACTGTCATGTCAAGGATGCTATGGCCTCTGCAGTCCTGCACATCTACATGGGCTTGGGAATGCAAAACATGGAAAGGCTCTCACTGGGTTAAGCAGTCAGAAACTCTCCAAGTGCTTCCATAATCTGCTTACTGGCTAAGCTGGTTGGGAAGCAAGAGGCTGAGATCTTGCTGACCTTCCTCAGTGGGGTCATCTCAGTCCACACAAATTTCAGAGGGTCTCAGACTGCACAAAGGGGGCATGTTAGCCCTGCTCAAAATTATTGCCGCTGCATCAGAGATGTGTGGCTATCTCATCTGCGTGAGCATTTAGAAGAAATATGGGTGTAATGATGATGATGATAATCTGTTGTTAGCTTGGAGAGTTTCACAAAACTGACAAGAGGCAAATAACAGTAGCAGGAAAAAAACCCCAAATGTGCATTTTTCAGCAGAAATGATAACACCAAATTCAAGTAAAGGCCAGAGATTTCTTTTCCATGATACTTATTGAATGGCTTGAAGCACAAAGTTTCCCATACATTGTATTATATTTATATTTAAAAAAAAATATAGGTATGAGTGTGAATTCTAGGGACTGGCTGGATGGAGGGGGATAGAATTATGCCTCTGTCTTGAACATATAGTGTGATACGATGCTTTTTTCATACTTGTTCAAGTTATCACTGAAAATATTCATTATACCACCTTCTATTTCCTTAATTTAAATATTTATTTATATTTCAGATGTGGGTGCTCTCGTGACAATTTACTTGGTGTGATATTACATCTTTTATACTTCCTTTTGCCTTCAATGAGGAAGCCACATCCAATTCCAGAGGTTCCTAAGGCCTGGTTCTACTAGAAAATATCAAGGCAAAGAAGGCATTAAGTATTTTGGCTTTTTCCATCACCTTCCCAGAGACAAAGGTGTGTCTCACGAGCCTGTAATTCCCTGACTCCTCCCTGTTACAATGTGTGAAAACAGGACTGATATTTGCTTTCTTCCAGTCCTCAGGATCCTCTCCCAATTGCTATGACCTTCCAAAGATGGGCAAGGTTGGCCTTGCAATGACATTGGCCAGTGCCCTAACAGGCCCCACGGACTTGGGTGTGTCCAGTTCCTTGAAATGTTTCCTAACCTGGTTCTCCTTCACAAAGGTTAAGCCTTCCTCACTCCAGACTTTCCCACTGGTCTTGGGGACCTGTGATTCCTGACGGCTGGTTTAACCTGTAAAGACCAAAGAAAGAAGGCATCCAGCCTAGCTTTTTCTATGTCCTCTGTCACCAGGTCTCCTGTCCAATTCCTCAGCAAGCCCACATTTTCTTTTGCTCCCATAGATACACTTGAAGGAGCCCTTCACTTCACACCCCTTGCTGGATTCAGCTTTGGAAAGGTTTAACTGTCCACCTCTCTTTCTGTCTGTGCTGTATTGCCACAGGGACAATTTGCATTTAACCTTAACAGAATATTCTAGTTCTTTTCAGTAGTTCTGTATGATTTTCTACAATGATTTTATATTATTAGTATACTCTACATTTTATTTATTTTAAATTGGCACCAAACTATGGACAGTTATTTATGTGTGAGTGTTTGAGATGACTCCTCACTCCATTAAAGGAACTTGCAGAAGCATCAAGTTGTTACCATGTTAAAGGTAACTGTTATCATTATTTATGCTTAATATATATGTTCTTTTTCTAGGATGAAAATAAGAGACTATAGGATGGTTGGAACTTCTTCCTTCATATGCATTAGAATTTATCTGCAGAAATATTTCTGAGTTTGGACTCTTTTTTTTCCTGTCTTTGAAGTGGTTTTGTCCCTACAAATAAAGTAAAAAATAAAATAAAATTAAACATTCTAGCATTTATATTTCTTGTCATTTTCTACAGGGAGTAAACATTATCACAGAGTAATGAACTTCATACTTGTAGGAGGTCAGGGGAATAGACCATCAGCTGTGTCTGTGTTGCACTAACCAGGCATGGATGACTGCTGTGTCTCCTGAGGGCTTTCTGGAGTTTATTGACATCTCATAGTGTTTCCTACAAGATGCATTTCTTTTCACTGCGATGCTGGCTTGACTAATTCCCAACCCAAATGCCTTTGGCTGAGGCCGCTTTTACCCCTCCCCCTTCAGTTGTTGACACTGTTGACACTGCAGTAGTGTTGCTGGTCCTTATCTTCCCAACCCTGTTTGCAGTGGACCTTAGTGAACAATGGCTGAATTGGGGGCAGAAAATGAACTGGAGAAAGGGAACAGTGGAACAGAGTAGTGGCTCCTGACTTGAGCAGGACTTACTTAATCCAGCTTTGCATGAAAGTGGACTATTATGCAATTATGATTTTGGGTGCCAACTACTTCTGGAGAGGGTGAGGAAGTAGCCACAATTCCAAGATGTTTTGAAGGATTGTTGTTTTTAACCTACTGAGCCTCTTGATTTTTCCTAAGAAAAAACAATGTTCTTGTGAAATGAAGTCATACTCTATTTCTCATTCTACACAGAAATGAACAACCATCATGTATGGGTAGCGGAGAATGAGGACAGATTTCCATATGTTGGGACCCAGGAATGACGGAGTTTGTTTATTTTTAAGCTGGATTTGGTAAAGATTTGTGAAAGATTGATTAACAGTTTTACGGTAATTACAACTCCCTTGCTAATTTAAAAGAATCTCTGTGTCTTACCCTGTTCACCCTCAGAAAGAGACTAAATTGTTTGTGCTAGTAGCAAAGTTCAACTCTTCCCTCTCTGCCAACTTGCCCAGGCACCACTACAGAGCATAGCTGCTGACAGGTGCCCCTGGGGAAAACCTGTACATGCACACACCAGGGAGGTTCAGCATGTCTCAGTAGGCATGAACAGCCATCTGCTATAGTTCTTATGCTTAAACAGACATCTGGCTCTTCCAATATTGCGTCCCCACCACCATCCCTGCTCCCTTCCAACCTCTTTTTCTCAGGGGTCGCTAGTCCTCTCTTTCTAGCACTTCAGCAGTACATGTTGGACCAGGCTGTGCTAGCATGTACTCCTTGCAATCACCCGGGGTCCCCATCAAGAACAGACACAGATTTCCCCTAAAAACCCAGTGTGATGGGAATTACTGTTTTTTACTGATCCCGAGTTAGTTTAAAACTGGAAGATTCACATTTGAAGAGAAACATATGGATTAGTGCTATTTATTAATTTATTTTTAACCGTTTGCAGATGTTGTTACTGATATTCTGGTTTCCAAGTCCTGACATAGTAAAAGGGCCTTTGTTTGCAGACACTTCACTGTTCTGATATGTTTAGTAATGTTCTTCCTTAAAATCCATTGGAAAGAAAGCATTATACATCTATGAGTCTGGTTCAATTGAATTCTAATAATAGCTTCATTTCAATAATTTCCTGTTTCTAATTACAATGACCAAAGCTACACACTGGTGTCTATTTTCAAACACTGTATATAATTTATGACATTGTTTATATAATTTTATAGAGATTTATATATAATATTATTTATATGTTTGTGTTTTCACTTCTCTTCTAGATCTCATCAGACAATTTACCAGATTCGAATTTCCAGTTGATTTCAGTAATCTTTGTATTTCTATGCTTCACTTTCCTGGCACCAAGAGGAAAATTAACAGCAAAAAAAAAAAATCAGTCATACAACCATTTAGGTTGAAAAAGACCTCTAAGATCATTGAGTCCAACCATTAATCCAGCACTGCCAAATCCACCACTAAATCATGTCCCCAAATGCTACAGCTATACATCTTCTAAAGACCTCCTGTGATAGTGACTCTGACACTTCCCCAGGCAGCCTGCTCCAATGCTTGACAATCCTTTAAAAGAAATTTTTCTTAATAACCAATTGAAACCTGCTTTGGCACAACTTGAATCCTATTGCTTGTTACTTGGAGACTGGCTGCTGGCTACAACCTCCTTTCGGTCATAGAGAGCAATAAGGTCCTCTCTGAGACTCCTTCTCTTCAGGCTAAACACTCACAACTCCCTCAGCCACTCCTCATAAGACTTGTGCTCCAGATCTTCCAGCTTTGTTGCCCTTCTCTGGAAACTCTCCAGCATCCCAATGTCCTTCTTGTAGTGAGGGCCCAGAACTGGACTCGAGGTGCAGCCTCACCAATGCTGAGTACAGGGGGACAATCACTTCTCTGATCCTGCTGGCCACACTATTTTTGATGCAAATCAGGATGCCATTGACCTTCTTGGTCACCCGGGCACATTGCCAAGGAAATGAAACAGCCCAGCAAGCAGGCCAGTGTAAAGAGGCAATTAGATCGAAGGAACAAGGACAAATGAAAAAGAGTAATTCCCTTTCTCTTTTTGAGTGTCTTTTAGGCATTTGTTATTTGTATCCTCCCACACTCATTTTCATATTCAGGTAACCCATTCAGACTTGCTGCCTAGCTAGGTCACTCTTCTCTTCCTCCTCTGAGAGATGATTCCCTCAAAATATTTTCCGTTTTGCAAGGGCATTCATCTTTTACATTTACATCTTTGAAATCTTAAATTCAGTTATCATTTAAAGCTCCACCTTCCATTTCTGGCCAAATAACTCAAAAAGTCACTTCTCAGGCTGGATCTATGTCACTCTATTCTTCTAATCCATTTGACATGATTTTTAGTTGACTGCTATGGACAAAGCAACATGAAAGTAAGCTGTGTGATTGAAAGGCATCTTTCATAAAAACAGGGGACGCAACCTGCTCTCAGCATTTCACTGAGAGCGCTGTGCCATTAGCATGTGTTATCTCTGCTGGAAAACAGTCAGATTGCTTTGCCAGGTATTCCTGTGAGGGTTTCTTTCTGCCAAATCACAAAGAAATGGCAATGCTGGGGCCTGGCTTTCCTTGAAAGACAATGACTGCCTTGTAAAGTATCTTATTTCTGAGGTAGTTAGAAAAAGGGCAGAGTTTACTCTGTAGTGCCTATTTCAATACCAATTTTTATTCCAAATACTGTTATTTCATCTGTTTTCCAGAGATCAACCCTATAAAGTGAGGTGATTATACAGTGTAGGCCTCCTTTTGCTTGGAAGACTTATAGCTAAACCTAGCTGTCCTTACCAACCAATTAAACCAATTTTTTTTCCTCTTCAGTGCGGATAATACAATATCTTCAGTGCAGAGCACAGAGTTTTTTCTCTTTCTTTTGTATAAACTTCACAACTCAACTCTACTTCTTCAAATTGCAGATTAAGCTGAATTAATCATAGAACATATAGGAACACCTTTGGAAAGCAGGGCAATTGCACACACAATTTTATTTCCAGGATAAATGTTAGCTTTTTTTGCTGCTGATGAGAAGACTAGCAAATCACGTGATGCTGCCTATCTGGCTAAAGAGGAGACACAGGGTATGATACCTTAGGCATGCAACTGAAGCATTGAGGATGCGTGTGTTCCATGTTCCCCTTAAATAATCACTGGAGATAATACGTGTATCTCCATGCCATGTTGACCCAGAGAGTTAATTTGGGGCAGGATTCCGGGACTGGAATCACCTCCCGGTTCAAGCATTTAGCAAAGAGCTCTGGATTTTCAGGTCCTCTTCATTCATAAGGGAGACCAAGCACAGGGAAGGGCAGTGTCCTCTGCACCACTTCTGCGGTCACAGTCTGACTTTCCCTCTCTCTTCTCTCTCTCATTTATAAAGTTTATTCTGTCAGACTATACTGATAATAAAATCCTATCCAGGAACATGTTTATCTGAACCTCCTAATATTCCAATCCTTCTTTTTTTCTCCTTGCATCCCCACAGTAGGTGTTACTGGTGCAGACATCTATGAAGTGTGGAGGAATTCCTGGGTATGTGTGTAGTGCTTCTAGTGTCTCCACAAGTCACATCAACAACACAGTTAAGGTTTTCTAGGCTACACAGTAGGTTAGAGGGATGAATCTGTTCCAGAGAGATTACTGAAGAGTAAGGCTTTGCATCCTCATACTCTTGAAAAGTGCTTGCAGTGACAGTTCTGTCCTTTTAAAACACTCTAGTCTCCTTTTATTGTTTTCTGTCAGCAGCGTTTTTCAGATGTGTCTAAGTGAAGACTTTTGCATATTGACATTATATATAAATTGGATATATATATTGGATGACATGATGGCATGAAAAACAAGTAGTCTGAAACTATTTTTTGTTTCCATAATAGTAAGCCACATGATAAAGTAGGTTTTGCAAATCTTTGAGTTGGGAATTGCAGATCAGATTCCTGACACACTCCACTTCAGTCCCTGCAATGGTTCCCTGGAAGATCTCCAGAGGGCTGATGCAGCAGAGGGAGGCTCTGTTGCCTGCAGGGTCCTGTCCTCTCTTCAAGAATACTGTGGTGTCACCAGGCACACCCTTGCACTGCCTGAAGGGCAGAACTGATTTTGGGGGCTCTGAACAACCCCGTTGGTGCAAGAGGAATGTGACATGCTGCTTTTTTATAATGTAGGTGTGGTGCCTGGTAGTGGGTGGTTTTCATCACAGCCTCGAGCCTCTTCTGAGAACCGAGTAGGGGAACGAAAGAGTGATCAAAATGGAGAGTAGGCATTGCTCACTGCTATTTTTACTTACATCGTTACCAGCTGCCTTGCTTGTCCTGCTGAGTTGTGCTGAGTTGTTTGAATTAATGGGAGACTCAGTGGCACAGAAGGCAGAATTACAAGACATGGCAATTTGTACAAGCAAGCAGCCGTAAACGTCATTGTCAAGTAGGCTAAGGATGGCACCATTGCTCACATCCAGCTTCTAGAGCAGTACAGTGGAGTTAAGGGCTGTTTCATTCTGACACAAATTTTGGAACAATAGTCCACTGTTCCTGAGCATTATCTGAAATCTAAATAATTCTAAGTGATTTGGAGAGCAATCTGAGTTTGGGTGATACTCATGGTATCTGTCAAAAGTTTGTTCCCTACTTATGAGAGTAATGAGTTAAAATGGGAGAAAAAGAGTCCCTGATGGCATTCTCATCACTCCTGGACTCCCTGAATGGAGTTATTTGAGCACAGACACCATGGGCACAAGGAAAAGTGTTGCAAACTGGTCATTAATAAACTTACACTGGGAAATAAAAGCTTTCTAATTACATATGGTATAAATCCTGAAATAACTTCCAGCTGAATGCAGAAAGCCATCTGCTTTCAAAGCAGAATTTAAAAGATATATGGGAGGGATGAGATAAGGTAAGTAGGTACATCAGCTGCCTTACTTGCAATGACTTAATATGTTGGAATTTATTTTTCATGCGATAGTCTGAATCATAATGTAAGTAACTCCCCACACATGGCACGGCACTAACTTGCCATTGGACACATTCTGTGCCAGTGGTCCTTAAGGCATGGCAGTATATACTCTGGTGGGGAGGTTCACCCTAGTGAATAAGCAGGAGGACAAGATACTTTTCAAGGATGAGTGTTTCAGGTTGAACTGGGAAAGCCAAGGTTTTCAAACTATACTTCTCTATGTCAGGTGAGTACCTGTGTCTTCTGTTTGGCTCAGCAGAGAGGCTCTGAGCAAGTTTCTTGGGTCAATATGACCTTGCAGACAAGGCAGGTGGGGAAATAGCTGGTTTGAAAATCCTCCCATTGATGAGATGGGAGATAAAACTCTGAGTAGCTTAATGGGGTCAGGCTCTTTCTGGTTGTGCATAAGGACCCCAGAGGAAACACTGTCACCCTGGGGAGTGGGGAGACTGGGTGAGTGCCTGTACAACACATGTGCTGGGGATAGGCACAGGAGGTTGGGCACCTCTTCTTCAGGGGTTACATCTGCTGTACAGTTCTAAATTCAAACACCCATGTAGCTTTTGGGAAGGAGATATTTTTATTATTTCACACGTAATGTTCCAGATATTTCCAAGACATCGCACCAGAAAAAGGTCTTTCCTTTACCTTCTGGCTGCTCTTCTGCTGGCTACATTGGAAGGACATTCTCTATAATAAAATCATCTGAGCATCCCAAATCAAAACAGTGCTGGTATTTGAGGACTGGAGACAGTGGTCAGGTTTTATGCTTGGACTGGTGCAGTTCAAGCCCCTGGAGTTGTTTGCCACAATGGTCTGAAAATGTAACTGCATGTATGGCTCTTGTAGTATGTTTCAATCTTCAAGTAAATAAGATATAATCATATTTCCTTTATGTGCCTTTAAAGCCCTAATCCCTGCAGGAATAAAAGGAATTATTTGGTAGATTAATGTAAACACTTCTTTATATAATCAGAAGTTTTATGTTTGGGCCAAAATATTTATGTTTTCCATCAGTAGGAAAATACATAACAGACACCTGTCCATTATTAATCATCTTTATGTTAAGAAAACCTTTCATTTATGGTTACCAAGTACATATTGTGTGATTAGACTATTTTAACACATGATGAATGAAAATTTTACCTCTGTTCTGCCAATGAGGCAATTTTTATACTCGGATGATATTTATATTATAAATAGCACAAGCTGACTGCATTAATGCTAATAGAATCATTTGTTATTGCTCTTTCAGCACTCCTCCTGAAAGCTGGCTTCATTGGATTTAAATCCAGCTAGAGCATTTGCTGAAAAGGTATTTATGTGCCTTTAACACCCACTCTGTGCTGGCATTGGGGTGCCAGTGGGAAGCTGTGTCTCCCTGCCTGTGAGCTTCATGTGGGAACAAATCAGTGTCCTTTCATGACTTAAATTAGAGTATTTCTCCCCTTCTCCCCTCGCTGATTTGAACTGTGGTTTTCACGGTAACCTTCTAAATAAAGCTTGGAGATACCTATGTGACATCTCCTTGACTGTTTTAGGTATCCAAATTTCCATGAGAGCTCCAAGTCTAATAAGATGCTATGGTAGTTATACAAAGGCTGCTGGGTAATAGTGCAAAGTATGCTGCTGGCATGATTAACTCACCTCAAGCTCTCGTCATCACAGAAATACATTTCTATTCTGGAATCCATTTCTACACTCAACCCCTTCAGCAAACAAAACAATAGTTTCATGATGAAGGCTGAAATTACCCTCTCGTGAATAAATTTCCAACAGTGCTTAGGGCTGTGTGAAAGCCTGATATGAGTGGGGATACAGAAAATCCCAGTGCCAGACCTTTCTGTGGACCTCCAGCACCATCTGGCCCTGTCCCCTGGCTCATGGGGAGTACGAGGTTGCAGCCTTCATGTCAGCATGCTTTGCTTTCCTTCTCCATGGGTAATAACATCCTACACACACACACAGAGCCACAGGCAGAGGGAGCTGCATTAAAAGCACTCCAAGGAGGGCCAGTGGCCTCTCTGGGGCAGCACTGCCACCTGTGCCAGACCCTTGATGCATGGTCATCACCAGTCCCTGCTTGGTTTTCCCACTGGGCTGCTGCCAGGTTCAGAGCTGGGGAAGAACCAGCCACGCTTTATTTACTGTATGCTAGTCAACCCCTGTTCTCAAATGCTAATTTCCTAATACTTTTTTCCTGTGGCATTTCCCATAACATGCCTGCTTCACTAATTAACATACATTCACTGCTTCATTAATTAACATACCTTAAAAGCATGCCTGCATCAGCAGAGACACGCCACAGGCCTGATTTCCAGCCCTCCCGAGGCACAGAGTGTTTGATTGCAAACTGCGTCCTACCAAGGGCTGGCCCGAGGCAAGCTCACCGTGGGGGCAGGATAAGCGAGAATGAAACTTCAGGGAATCTTATTTGAGCGTGTATATACTCAAGAGTCCCCCTGAATCCCTTAGGTAGTGGCAAAATCCTGCCCTACCAGAAGTCAGAATGAGATGTTATAGCTAGATGTTATTCTCTGTCCTTTCCAACATCCTGGGCGCTGAGCTGGAACCTCAGCTTCTGGTACCCTGGGATCAGCATCAAAGTGGAACCAAAGGGGACATCTCCATCCTCATTGTAACTCCTGCAGCCTGCTCATCAGGCTGAGAACAGTGAATTAGGTTTCTGGTAGCAGGAGATGGCATCTCCACCATCTGGAATGAGATCCCAAACAATAAAGCAGAAGCAAAACTATGGAGAGCTGAGATCCTAACTTTCTGTATTCAAATATCTTGCTTTATTAACTAGTAGAGAAATAAATACGAAGCAGCCAGTAGTCACAAAGGCACTTGTTCAGACCATCTGCAACAGAGCCAGCATTGAAGATAGCAATGAGTGATGTAGACTCTCTATTGCCATTTTCTACGCTATGGTTGATGGAAGGAGTTGAGCAAGTTGGGTTAGACACCTGGGCATGAGCTGTATGAATATGTCCCCTCTATCCTCAAACTGCAGAGACTGGAGTGTGACCACCCCACATTTTTGCAAGTCTGATCAACTCAGCGCTTTCTTTGTGGGAGATATGAAAACTTACCTTTGTGACATAGCAGACTTTGACTATAGCATGGTATTATCGGAGACATGGAGTGAATCACCATCTCTCTGTAAAGGGGATATATATGAGGAATAATGGGAACAATACTTCAAATGGAAAACAGCAACCCTGAAACCAGCAAAAGTGTGGTGCTGTGTTCCTGCTCTGTAATGCTCCGCTTACCAGAAACCCATCTGCATCCTTGCTTTAGGGGTCCTCTCTCATTTGGACTCCAGACACTTCCCTGCTTTTAATATTTAGTTTTATGGGCATAGATGCCCAGTGACAGTCAGAATCTAATTACACATCCTTATTTAGAAAGATAATATTTCCCAAAATATGGTACTTGAAATGCCTTGTATAGTAATGAATGGTTTTGGTCATTCCTAGATTATAGACATTATAATTATCACACATCATTTTTCTGATAGTTGGAAAAAATCTGTTTGTTTTTTGGAGGGGAGGAAGGCGGCCGGCAACTTATTTATATATATTGGTTTGTTATGCTGAGAAAAAGAGACATACAAGAGCACAAAGTGTCCCATTTCACTTTTTCTGTCTCCTCCTAGGTTATGCATTAGCTGCCACTAATCACAGGTCCCTTTCAGGTGTTTCAAAATTTCTCCCTCAATATAGTTGATATACAATCAACATACATTTCATAATCAATATCTTGATAAAATGTGTTTTAGGGTTATTTCTTTCTGAATAAAGCTTGCCATTTTTTTAACACTGAATCAAACTTGCTGGCTTTTGCAATTACGTCACTAACCAGATTTATACAGCAGCTAAAGTAAACTTAGAGAATTATTTTATCATAGAATCACAGAATGGTTTGGGTTGGAAGGACCTTAAACGTCGTCGAGTTCCAAATTCTCTGCCATTGGCAAGGACACATTCCACTAGACCAGGTTGCTCAGAGCCACATCCTATCTGGCCTTGAAAACTTCCAAGAATGAGGCATCCACAACTTCTGTGTGCAACCTGTTCCAGTGCCTCACCACCCTCACAGTAAAGAATTCCTTCCTAATATCCAATCTAAATCTACGTTCTTTAAGCTTAAAGCTGTTTTAGCAAGAAGCATCTCTAACCTCTTTCATGTTATTTTTTTTTTAGCTCTGTTAGAGCAGCAATAACAAAACACTCTTTTAGATGTTGCTTTTGTTCTTTAAATCATAGTATACAATGGAATTGAGATGAGTCTACATGGACCATTATTCCATGCAATATTAGCTTACCTTGGGGGTAAGTTCTGAGCAATGAAAAGTTCAAATAAATAAATTGCAGCCCACAAAATCTTCTTATCCTTCTATCATGTTATTCTCCTCCAAAATCTCAGCTGATTTCATGGTCACAACTTCAATATCAAGATGTCACCAAAGCAACAAGTAAATTTTTTTTTTGTGGCTGCAGAACGTGGCTTCTGCTTTTGTGCCACATTACACTGACTCACACTTACCTTCAGCCTCTCTGTGCACCCAGTTCACCCAAAATCTCTAGTGATAAACTTTTCTGTAATATGTACAATATTTCTCATGGGTCTGGTGTCTCTAAACACTGATATACCATGCTCACTCACTCACTCACTCATGGCTAGGCTTCGCGAACGAAGATTTGGAAGGGCTCTAACCACGTTTGTTACAAGCGTGCTGATGGCTAAAAAGGCCAATACAAGATAGACACGACCAGTTGCAAAAGGCACAGCAGAAGGACTCCTTAGGTGGTATATTCTGCAAGGCACGATTCTTTCTGCATTGTCTTTTCTCCTCAAGAGTGATCCTGCGTGCTTTCTCAAAAGCATCAGCAGCGTTATAGATGGTGTGTCTCCAGACCTCCCGATTGGAGGCCAGAGTAGACCAGTTATATTGATCAATATGGTCAAGGCTGAGGTGTTGTTTCAGGGAGTCCTTGTATCTTCTCATTGGGGCCCCTCTCATGCGGCAGCCAGTGGCAAGTTCACCATAAAGCATGATCTTGGGGAGGCGGTGATCTTTCATCCTTGAGACGTGCCCTGCCCAGCTCAGCTGTGTTCTCAGCAACATGGCCTCAATAGTTGTGACTGCTGCTTGTTCTAGAACAGACGTATTGGTCACATAATCTGATCAGAGGATGTTTAGGGTTGTACGGAGGCAGTGTTGATGGAAGCATTCTAGGAGTCGCAGGTGGTGGCGGTAGACGTTCTAGGAGTCGCAGGTGGTGGTATGCATCATCCTTAATAAAATACCCATGAATAAACAGTCAGGCTATGACAGAGATTTTTGAAGAGGCTACTGGAGGTTTCAAGTATTGCTTTAAAACAAACCCATGGGATTTAAGTAGAAATCTAGTACTTTACTTAAATCCATTAATTTTAACCATACTGCCAACTTCCATCATTTGTCATTAAAGCTGTATGACGTAAAAGCTCATCTGTCCAAATATTTTAGCTGTGGTTTTGTTCCCCATTTTATCACTGCCCAGCAAGTACAGCAAGCCTCAGAAGCTTAAAAATTAAGATTCCTGAAGACCTCTGAAACTAGAGATAAGCAATACTAGCTCTTGTCATAAGACCTAATTAACTGGTTTGAAATAGTGCCGTTCCTTGACACTAATTCCACCCAAGGCGTGTGTGTGTTCAAAAGAAATAAACAGGTAAAGGACAGCACCACAGCATTAAAAAAGGATCTCTCAGTCTACCTCTCTTAACTTTGAAGTTGATGTGAGCTTGCTGTTGACATTGTGGTAATGCAGATGTAAGTGAAAAGGTGTGTACGTTTTCAGACCACCGTTGTGGGAAACGGGGAGCACTTCTCAGGGACTCCCAGATCCTGTGCCTCCTCTCCATCAGGTCATCCTACCATTGCCTCTGTAGGGATGAAGGTGACAGGGAGGCATTTGGGACCCGTGGTACTCACCAGTTCATTAATGGCAGGTGTCCTGATTTTGGTCAGAAGAAGCTGTTCCAAAGAGCCTCTTTCAAGTGCCTCTAAATCAGGCTTGAAATTATAGTTGTGAAAACCTTCATGAGGGTTATAACTGGAGGATCACTCAGGCAACATGGGAGAGGCTGAAGTGGTGAGGGCCAGCCCAAATCTGCAAGTGGAAATGGAAGGCTGTCACAGGACCACCTCACAGGTAATAGCCCATGTGCCCTTAGAAAGGGTCTCAATTCTTTCTAGAGACTTTTTTTTTTGTAAAAACAAACCATTTTGTATTTCTGCATGTACCAAGCGGATTATAATATTCCTGCCTTATGTCTTGGACCTTAATTATCCTTTCAATCTTGTTCTCAATCACTTTAGTTAATTCATTCTTTAGTTCTCTTCGATATTCAAAGGACATGTCTGTCAGAGTAGATAAAATGAAGCTGAGGTACTGATTCAAATCCTGACACGTAATTATCCATCAAGCTTAAAGGAAAGTGTGGGGAGAGGGAATTTAGGGAATGTCATCTGTGAACTCTACCAGGTCATTCGAGCATAAGGCCAGAAAATGAGCTTCATGGTCCTCTACATTTACTAACAAAAATATGACCACTAGCTCCAAAAAAGTCATTCTCAGTGCCTCCCTGTGGCTGGGCTGTTTGCAGTCACCCCCACAGTAAATGTCCTGTGTGAATTTTGGGCAATGTGCTTGGATGCATGCTTCATTTTGGTTGTAGTTCAGCATGTCAGATGTTTCTGCAAATTTAAAAGTGTCCATCTTTGGGTGTGGAAGTGTGTTTTTACAAGTTGACCTGTTAGCTCCTGGAGCTTCTTTCTGTGAAGATAATTTCTTATCCTGTGGTGGTCTTGTCTGGATGAAACATAAGTGAGCAGAGGTACTGCAGAAATAGCACACTCCACTGCATAACTATTGTCAGCTTAAAAGGTTTATGACTGCTGTCCCAAAAACTGCTCCTTTCTATAGACACATTCCAAAGAGCCTCTTTCAAGTGCCTCTAAATCAGGCTTGAAATTATAGTTGTGAAAACCTTCATGTGGGTTATAACTGATGGTCAACTCTTTTCAGATGCTACCTGTGAGTCCTGTGTTTGTGTGCAGTGAGGTAGAGGGGATCTGGAATCTCAAATGTTGTAAATCAGGCAAACACGAGCAGATTTACACAAGCTAGCCATTTGGGTGAAGGCCATTATACTTTATTTATGTAATTATTTACTTCTTTCTGAAACTCATAAACACTATACATCACTCTATAATCATTGTTACAATAGATAATAAGTGGTACTTTCAGCTGGTGGGAAAATCACACCAGTACTTCTGAATCTGGAGCTATACAGTGAACCATGCTGAGGAATCGATCTGGTTAAAATCAATTCAATAAAGAAGATCCACCTAAGACTCCGATCAGGGTCATTTTATGGTCCCACAAAAGCTGTGAAGGCAAAACTGAGGAGATAACATGGGGCTGGGAGTGCTGAGAGACAGGGCAGAATGGGAGCTGTCAAAGGGAACTTTTGTCAAATGGCAACCTGGCAGGAAATATGGCTGGTGTCATCAGTAAGTAAATCAGCTGATAAGTTATGGATAATCTTTGACCTCAAATGTGCTTTCAGTAAACCTATACATCTATCTAGTATAGGCTTAAGCAATTTGACTGCACCTGACATCAATATTTGACTGGTGTGACCAGACCTGCCCAAGCACATTGCACTGGTAAAGGATTTAGGATTACATGTTATTAAGTTAAGAGGCAACATATGAAAGGGAAACTAACATTTATTCAGAGTTAACTTTAATTTTTACAAAAAAAGCACAGGTTTTAAGTTCTTAAGGCTCCCTGGGTGTTTAATACATTTTGATGGTAAATTACACATTCCAAGATTTTCTCTTTCTTATAGTGATGTGGGTCTGAGGGGAGATTAAAAGTTGTATTTGAGGACATTGTTATGTAATTAGACTTGTGTGGCCTTTTGTTAGCCAGTGCAGTTGCTCCCTCAGACCTGTCCATGTAGCATGATTTATAATTCAGCACAGAATAGGTTTTCTTGGCTTCACGTAATTACTCAAATTTTTATTTGTCAACTGTTGTAGATCACAAGCATTTTCAGTTCTGCATAGATAGGCAAATGCTGCTTAAAATAACCTACATTCTGCAATTCTTCCCTCAGGAGTTTATCCATGAACATTTTCAGTGTACTGATTAATAAGACCAAGCTTCCCCCTCGCACTCGTCTGATTAAAATATTTAAAGGAATACTAGACGAATTCAAATTGTTTAGTAAGTACTGGACATGCTCTTCTCTGTATTAGCTGACTCTTGTTCATCTTGATAAAAGATGGCAAGAAAATCTCAATAAATCAGAAGTCCTCTACTGTCTGAGTCAGGAATGCTCTTCTGAGTTGTGGAGGGGACAAGGTTTGGCAGGTAACAGATAGGTGTCAGGTCGGACCAAATATTATGAAACAAGTGATGAAATAGGTAGCAAAGCTATTATACAGTGCAAGTTAAAGAAGTATCTGTTTCAACAAAATTTTAAAAATAATTAATGACTGGGTCTGCCAAAATGACCCCAAGGTCTGTGACTCAAATGGAGAATGAGAAGACCCAGTGTGAGAATTCAGAGGCTTGACATGAAACGAGTTAAGCTCACAGTTTGTGTGTGATAAGCATTCCTGACATTCAGTAATGGGATGTCATGGCAGGCGTCAAGCTCTGCCCATTTCAGCTGCTCGTATGTGAATCATACAGATTCTTCTTGACAAAGTCAGTGTTTTCTCTTCATCTGCTCATCATTTTTTATACCAGCTGCACTCTTAAACACAGGGCTAATCTATTTATTCCTAAGAGTGTTATAAAATTTATGAGGATGAAGAGTGAACTGCATCCAAATGGGCCTCTCTGAAGCTAACAGTTAATAAAGAAAAACATTTCCTCTACAACCATGATTTAGGAGCCCTAATTTTTATATATATGGACATGAGATCAATGGGCAGATGTGTGCTATGCTCAGCACATGCAAGTAGGGAAGGCATGAATACAGAAACTTCTGTTACAACTACATTGTGGGAGGCAATTGGGCTGTGGACAGCTTGGGCCCTGAATTTGAGTGGCTGCAGCTGTGAAGTTGTGAAGGAATGTCAACAATGAAGATGAGAAGGTGGACAGGGAGGACGGAGCTGCGGGGCAGTTGTGATAGCCAGAGAGCCTGGACTGTTTACTGAGTCACCATGCAGAAGCTATAGAGCAACCAATCTTAAGATGTGTATGTAGTAAGGGCACCAATGGTGGTGAAACACACTGGCTAGGGGAGACTACAAATTGGCCATGTTTGTATGAAATAAAGGCTTTTCTGCGTGAAATCCCAGTGTGGTGTCCGTCCCGACAATGGCACTACATCCCCTGCAAATACTGACTTTAAACTCCTTTAAATATATGTGCCTCTTTGTCCTCTACAACCTTTAGTGGCTTGAAATTCTTTGTGAACCACCATCCCTTCGTGAAGCTGTGAAATGCTGTCAGTGCCATTTTGGAAATGGGGAAGAGGGAGGCTGAGGTCTGAGTTCACAAAGGCAAGCTGAAGCTGAAACACAACTGCTGTCCATGCCAGCAGCACATGTGTCATGCCCCAGGTTATGGGCCAAGTCTCCAACAAAGCTCAGAAACAATCAGGAACCTCCCAAAGCCAAAAGCACCTCCTCGTCAGAATGGAAACTGCTTGGCAAGCCTTCCTTTGCTGCAATTGCAAGCAGAGAGTATGGCTTTGCCCCAGCTGAGGAAACCTTTGTGCAAGGATAGGCTGAGGCTGAGGGTGGGTTCCAGCCGCTTTGCACCAGCCAAGTCAAAAGAAGTGAGGCTGGAAAAGCAAAGGCTACAAAGAGGAAGAAGTAGACTTTCTTATTGGAAAACTCTTCCTTTATTTTAAATATGTATATTTTCAGTACCTCTAGTAAGAAAAGGTAAAAAACTTTAAGAAGATCTTTCAATCCTACAATTTTCTTCTGATTTTCCTGCTAAGAGAGGAAATTGGCACATGGGAAGAAATGTTGATGGGAGGTGTTTCTGATGAAGTCAATGGTGACCAGAAGTAGGATGCAGCTGCTTGACCACAACAAAATTACTTAACCTCTCTATCAAGAGAAAACCCTGATAAGACAATACTGACCAAGAAGGGAAAGTTTAAAGCTGCTGATAAATTCTGAGTGGAAATGAGACAAGTTGCTTGGAGATTCCCATGAAAGGGGGTGCATGGGATGACAGTGACATCCAGATCTCACCACACAGCTCTGGGGGTTTCTCATCTCCCTGTAGACATATCCCCTCTGCACTGGGTCTTGGAGTCTGTAGGGCAGGAGGGAGTGGCAGGAGAACTACAGGAAATGTGGGTTTTGATCCCATGAAAGTGAAGGTATTAATGATCCCACTGGATTTGGGAGCTTGAGGTGTGAACCTCTACGCTGTTACCGTGGCTGATGGGCCACTGAGCCTTTGCCATCTGCTGGCCCACTGAGCCCCCTGCAGCACCTCAGGCTGCCCTGGGTGGGCACTTGGGTTTTCTGCACAGCCCAACCTTCCAAAATGTGTGGGAAGAGGAAAAGAGAAGGAAGAAGGAAGGTGAGAAGAAAAGTCCATGAGAGATTCCTTGAGGCAGAGGTACAGGGCAGGCAGTGGAGTAATACGGTCACAAACGAGCAGGTGCAGCAACCGAGCCACATGCACACAGTGTGTCTGGTACAGCTCCCATCCTTCCAGGTCAGGAGAGGCTGTTCTGACTGATGATTTCATCAGCATATGGGAGAGATGCTAAAGAAGTTTCTCCTTAATCTACCATCAAGGCTCAAAGAGTTTCTGAAGGAAAACAATATTAGAATTGTTGATTTTTACAGAAAAAAATAACATCCATTAATCAAACAAATGGCATGCTCAGGAACTGAGCACTGTGGGACAGCAAATTGATTGCAGGAGTTGTCTGTTCCCCCTATATTTCTCAGCATTTCAAAATGGACACAATACTCCGTTTTATTATTTGCCAGCCCTTTACGTTGGACTTGAAATGCAATTAAAATAGCACTTGAGAGAGCCATACATTTTAATTAATGCCTTGCATTGCTGAAGTTGGAAAACAAAGACAGCATTGTCCACTTGGAATGAGTTAATCAAGACAGATGCATTCCTGGGTGTCTATACATCAATATGAAGACATAATCTAGTAGAGCAAGAAACCCATCTCTGCTGTAATATCACTTGTTTTGCTTCAGAAATCTAGCCCAGTGGGTGTGTATGATGAGCTGAGTGCCAGAGGAACAGCCACAGTTTTTAAAATTGGGACAAAATATATGAGTGGATGAGGTGCTGCCACAGGACTCAAAAAACAAAAGGAGCCCCCATGAGACTCAGCCTGCTGAACTCCCCTCCCCATTGTGCTGCTTCTCCTTTCAGTTTCCAGCTCCCAGAGCTCTTCCTCTGAGCTGCCAAATTGGTGGCTCAGATGCAGCAATCACAGATGAAGGTGACACCTAAGAGTGGTGTGAGAAAGATTTGAGCACTGTAATACAAAATCTGGAGTTTGCTCCAGCTCAATAAGCTTATTCTCCCCAGCAAGCACGGACATTGCTGGGAAGGATCTTGGCTAATCCCTGCTGCTCCCAGTAGCACTGCTTCCATGGACAGCGTGGATGCAGCAGCCCTCTTTTGAAGGGTACACGAGACATAAAATGCATATATATGTGTGTATATGTGTATATGTACATATTTATGCCAAAGACTGGTATCAGGCAGGTTTCAAGCACAGACATGGACTTTCTATTCCAGTCCCTAAGTTCACAAGTATTTTACATGATGATCATCTTGTACATTAGCATTTACCAGGAATCATATATCCACCCACACATCACACACCGTTTATGATTTCAGCTAAGGAGCAGGGGCTACATGGAAGAGATTTCTTCAGCACTTTACAAGGGGAAAACCAAACTGAAGCAAATGAGAAAAGGTGAAAGTCTTAGTAAAGGCAAAAACTGAAACAAGAGACTGGAAAAATGCAAACCTGTCAACCATTTCAAAATGCATTTAGAGACCTTAAAAATACAGAGTGCAGAGTTAATAATTTGCAGCCGACAGCATTTTTTAGGTAAATTTTAGGTAAATATGCCTTTCCTGGACAGGAGAAACTCCAGGAAAAACTGGCAGAAGAAAGTCCCTTATGAAACAAGATGACGGAAAAAATTGGTTCTTGTCAGTATGAGATAATGAGTCTTTGCAGAAATATGTTGAGCTCTCCTGTCCCCTTATTCATGTCTCAATGAAATCTGACTTTTTTGGAGAAAATATGGATAACCTTTGGGACTATAATCCAATCAGTAGGCCCTGATCTAGGCATCTTCAGCAAAACACAGAAAGGATGGGAATAGAGAAATGAGAAAATGCCACTTAACGAGACAGTAGTCCTCCTGCCTTCAAATGCTTTGAACAGTTTTGGTCACCTCATCTTGAAACAAGAGGTTGAAACTGACGGGCTCCAGAGAAGGGTCAGCAAACAAATGAACACAGGGAAAATCTCTTCTCCTTGGGGTGGAGGTAGATGAAAGCTTTCCATTCATCTTGAAAGAACAGTTCAGCTTTCAACACTTGTTCTGTGTCATGGAGGACTGCAGAGCACAAACTGACCTATCGTCCACCTTTGCAGAATTACATCCTTCCCTGAGCAGCCTCCCACGAGAGCCACTA